GGGGAAGTGTGGAAAGGAAATAACGTGCTCTGTAGTCATTCTGAATCTCTTTACCTTTTGAAGCACAAATATTTACGTGTTGGTTTGCTTTTCATAGGTACAAATACACTGAATGAGGAAATTAAATCTGGACTGCAATAAAATGACTCAGTGTCCTTTTACAGATATAATCTTGAAAAGATCCCTATTAGGGCATGATTGTTTTCTCTGTGCCCTTAATTCTGGGAATTGTCTCATTTGATAATGCCAAATTATATAAAACATGATGGATGAAATGTCGGCGTTTTTTTTCTGTAATGTTTTCATGATATGTGTTTTATTTTGTGGCCTTACAAGACTTAGGTATTCGGAAACCTTCAGTACCAGTAAAAATAAATATTTTTGCGCTTACTGATGGAAAAAGTTATTAGTGTAGTTGAGATGATAGCTACACTGAACTGAGAAGACTAGCCCTTCTTTTCCATATGTGTTTCCTAAACAGGCAAAAACTGTTTATCTTATTTAATGTAAATTAAGTATTGGCAGTAGGGATGAAGGAAGTCTTTGAAGCATGCTTCTGAACCTTGGATTGGTCAGAGCTGTTGCAGAAGGTGGAATTAGTTCTACTTCAATCTAGCTGTACTACTAAAACCAAGTACTGTGCAAACTTTCTGGGTAGAACAGAGATTTATTAAAGAGTGACCGCAACCAGGCTTCTTGCTGATCTGTCTTGCAAAAAATAAGGACTTCTAAAGAGGCCCATTTAAATCTTCAAGTGAGATAATAGTGTTGAGAGGTTATAAAGAATGTTAAGACCACTTCGAATGTTATCTTAGTGCTTAGGAAAGAATCGTGATAAATATGTGACCAAACCCATGCCAAATTGTTGTTCTTTCAAATTAAAACACCACTTTTATGCAGCGGAAAAACTTTGCGTTGTTACCCAGTTTTTATCCAAAGGAAATTAGATAATGCAAACTTACGTTAAGGGATAAAAATACTGGCTTTTTGGGAATTTTTTTTATTCCAACTTAAAATTTGTCTTCAAACAATTTTATCAAATCAAGTTTATGTATCAAAAGCAGATGTGTCCTATTTTTATAGGACACTTTAAGTACAGTATAGCATAAGTATAGCATGATAGATGCAAGTGTATGTGAATTGGTACAGTGCTTTTCAGAATGTAAAATGTAATGTGTAAAATTACAGGATTTTAGAGGGTTTTTTAATCCTCTGCTCTAAAAACTGTTTCTTGTTTTCCTTTCCCAAGTGCAAAATATGGCAATCAGTGATAAGTATATTAAAATATTTTTTAAGGAGTCCAGCCATGACAAGCTTATCGAAACTGATTTTGTAATTTTGGTGTATGTTAGTAATACTTAATGGTAGCAGGCTTTCAAATGCTCTAAATATTTTCAATCCCAGATAATGGTATGTGATTTTCTACTTCTATTTAGTCACAGGCATATAACGTAGCTGGGGATAATAAATTTAGTATGCAATTCCGGGGTATAATGTCAACATACAGATACTGTAGAATCTTGTAGCTACAGCGATGAGAATATAATTCAGGCTTTACTTTCACATCCCCCC